GCCCAGAGGTGTTACCTTTTACGTCAGATGTCAGAACGTCACTCAGTTTTGTTTAGGCTAAGAGAAAGAACACATGATAACACATCAAAAATACTAAAACACAACCAAAATACAGAGTAAATAGAAAAACAGATCTTATCAAGTACAAAATAAGTTCTAATTAGAAAAAAACAGATCATGACAGTTTATGCAGAAAAAATAAAAATGTTTCAAAAATGAGTAAATGTTCTGGCTGGATTAATTTACATGTTGTGTTAAAAATATATAAATGTTTTAATATTAAACTACACAAAACTTAAGACTTTGCAGCTGAACATGTACATCAGAATTAATCTTAACCTTATAAAACCCTTAAAATGAAAGAGCTACAGAGGGCTTTGCCCCCTGTAAACCCCCCACCAAGTCCCACCCAAGACATTGACCTGAGCAGGCCTCGTACCCCAATCTTAAAAAGGTCCACTTTTCTCAAAAAAAAAAAAAAAAAACCCACCCACTCAAAATCCTGGCTACGCCCATGTATTGGTAAAATAACATAAATGGAAACATGTCTTCATGATCTGTTGATTTATTTCTCCCACTGCCAAAGAAAATAGAAAAATGGGCRGCAGTCTTATCTTGAACAATAAGGTCAAACATTTAGACACCCTTCACACTAAATCTGCTGCAACGTAAAATGTTGTCCAGAGCCTGGGTGATCTCTGCAGGTTGTTGGTGAGACCTTCAGGGGAGCATTAAGAACCCAGTGAGCCCCTCATAACAGAGTGCACCATAGATTTAAGCATTAACAGAACATGCAGAGCCAAGAGGTGCCAGCATTATATCCAGGATGAAGGGGTCTCAGGAGCAGCATTACTGTGTTCTATAATTTGAAGAGTTATCTAAGTGAGACTAGTCTTCTTCTGAACTTTGTGCTTTTCTCCTCAGGGACTGTGACGGCAGTCAGATTAATTACCTGTACGCTCAGTATGTCAGAAACACCATGTTGCCTCTCAACATCGCTGACGTCACCAAGGACCAGCGCTTCCCCTGGACAGTCTGTACTCCACTCCACTTGTCTTTTCTTTTCCTGTCTTTTCCATTAAGTAACCTTTTCTCTTGTTGTCTGACAGGGTGAAAACTCCAACCACAGCAGGGATCAGATAAAAAGTTTACTCTGCACTCCCATCAGGAATGGAAAAAAGGACAAAGTCATAGGTGTGGACCTTTTTATGTTTTTCTTATGTTAAACTACATGTGATAATGTCTTAATTACTGACCTCAGCCAATGGTTAAAGGGGTAGTATAATGGAAAATCCACTTTTTTGAGTTTTATATCATGTTGTTACATCATCCCCTCATCAAACACATATGCAGAGTGTTGCTTTGACTCATTCATACATGTTTGTGAAATCCTGTCCTGTGGTAGTTATTCAGAAGAACAAAAACAGCTGGTTGGCTATCGGTAGCAAKAACTAGCAAGCAAGTGCTGYCACTGCGCGTSTGCTGAGCTCCAATACTAACAGTTTGGTCCTTTTTGGATTTAAAATGTAATGTATTTTTGGATGCCAAGGGGACTACCCTCTTTTTAAGCTTCCCATGGATGACACGGTTCTTAAAAAATGGTTGGATTTCAATTTTGAAAGGAACCCTCAGATGAAAAATTGTTATATTTGTGCGTGCCACTTTATGGATGATAGCTTTCTGAACAAAAGGGAATTTTAACAGTGGACCAATAACAAGATTATCACTAAAAAGCGATGCAATTCCAACACAAACATTGTAGTTGTTTGTCCAGGTAAGCTGAAAAACAACTCATGTTTTGTTTGGTCTATGTGTGATCTACGATTAGCATTCTTAACTTATATTATGATCTGTGTTCTTTTGTTGGCTTAAACCACATTTTAGTAATAAATAAATTAACATTGACCTGTGTATGTGAGGATGACTGTATCTTACCAAGCTGAAACATCATCTTTCTACTCCAATTCTTCAGAAAACGTACTTTCCGGTCCGACGGTAAGGTTCAATTGTATCCTGAGTTGCTATCTTCCAAAAACCAATATTGTATAATGTTACTACTATTTTGATTATTATTATTATTACAACAAGCTACAATGCTCCTAAGACAGGTTGTAAATGGCATGAAGTTGTTGTGATGACGTGCAGAAATAGGCGTGACGGAATTGGTAGGAGMTTCTTAAAGAGACAGAGACCAATTTCAAGGCATTTAGAAATGGCTATGGTGCAAKGTCAGATTATTTTTTGATTTACATAAATGACAGCATTTTAATTACAACTGAAGTTGACATAGTTAATGTATTTTAGTATATAACTGAACTATAGGCCTGAGAAACACATAATATTAGCCCTTTAAAGGGCTGTAATTATCTATAATTACATCTACACTGATTAACCTTTAGAGCCAACCTCATTCAAGCTGACCACCACAGCTAAGTGACCATAGCTAACAGAAACCAGCTTTAACTCAAACAGTTTTATAGATATTAGTCAATTTTGGTATGGCTAACAGTCCTTTACATGTTAACACTGGTGGACTTGAGGTTTGAACAATCTTATGTTGTTTTCTTGTGTCTACCTATAATCAGCAGTTATGGTTAGTCCTGCCACTGCCCCATCAGAGATTGTCATCAGCATATTTAACTGATAGTTGCTCCGTTAGCTGGCAGTGAAGKGAAGAAACGAGAGTGGARATTATGAGCTGATCAAACAGATCACGCTCTCACGGCCTCTCCTGCAGCACTTGAACCATGATGCTGAGCCAGATCAAAGCTCAGGTTCTTTTTATTACAATGACATGTTCTGGAAGAGGCTGATACACACCAGTCCACATCAGAGATGCAACATGTTCTATCTTTGTAAGGAACAGCTTGGTGTTCAGGTGTTCATCTTCTGTTTGACTCCTTTAATTCAGCAGACTTTAATCTTTTCATGCCACCTCCCTTTAATGAAGCCTGAAATTCCAACATCCCATRAGTTTTTTATGCAGCCCAGCTGTAATCAACAACTTCATTCCTAACAATCCAAGCTGAACGCAGATTAAAATGATAAATCTGCTGCCAGTGGCTCATTAAAGTCAKCATGGTGACTACATACTTGTGAATCTTATTCCCTGACTGTATGCTTAAGAAGACAGGCAGAGTAGATATTAAAATTCATAAAATCAGTGTGAGAAAACTCCTGAAGCAGAAATGGTTTGTTTGGAGACATGATGCATCAGAGAAACGCTTCACTTCCAGATTTGATTAGAATTGTTTGAGCTCAGATAAAATGGACTTTAATGAGAGATTAGATGTGTGCACAAACTGTTATATATTGCACTGTACTTATTTTAAACATTGACCCTTATTAAAATCTAGATCTCAGGAACCTAGAAATTGAAGATGGGACAAGACCAGCCGGTTCGGATGTTATCAGTCCATTAAATGGACATTATTAGCGGCTATCAGTCCCATAGAATGGCTTCAGACTGTCCCAACAGTGCCCCCTAGTGGGTTATCAGTGCCATAAATGTTGGAAGGCAACAATCTGCTACTGCCGGAGTCCGGTCTACTTTATAGTAGCCCGGTCATTTTCTCTAAAATTAACCTTAGTGGCTTTATGCCTCATATTAACCAGATTGCATAAAAAACCTTAGTGGCTTTATGCCTCATACTAACCAGCTGACAGTCTGAAGCCATTCTTTGGGATGGAGAACCCACTAGGCGGCACAGTTGGGACAGTCTGAAGCCATTCTATGGGACTAATAATGGCTAATAATGTCCATTTAATGGATGATAACATCCAAAGCAGGTGACAAGACCAGAATCTCCATCAGCTTCTTCAAATGGAACTTCCCTAACCCCTGTTAGCAATTGGGACATTACCTTTATAAAAACTAAATATTTTGTTGATTCTTGTAGTCCTTACATTGCTGCAGTTTGTTCAAATGTTACATTTTTTTTACATGTTTAGCTGTATTTAGTTATTTCATGCTTTAAATAAAGATATTGTGGGGCGGACTAGACAAAACTTAAAGCCCGGCGTCTTGAACGCCAGACTCTGYTTCCAAAAATACAATTTAGCAAATCCTGTAAACCAAATTCTGCTGACTTCAAATCTCAGCAAGAGAAGGTGGTGACATGACATCTGTTGTTCTTAACCCATTTGTGCCCAATGTTTTTTTCCAGAGTTGTAAGGCATATCATTTTATCAGTTGAGTCCCTCTGAATCATGTTATGTAATTATTTTCACCACTTTGTATTTTGTTTTGAAAAAAAAAAAAATAGTATTTTTATGACCGGCAACAATTGTTGCCAGTGGGCACATAGCTTGTCACTAGGTCCAATGTCACCTGTTCATAATAGAAAACTAATAGTAATAACAAAATAATAATGTGGTCAGAATAAATAATAACAAAAAGGTGGAGCCTCAGGTTCCTCCTATATAAATACCAAACAACAATTTGAACTGTTTTTTTATTCTCAATTTTTTTATACTCAAAACTTATTTTATTTCTTAGAACCTCTAATAACACATATATG